GGGCGTCTTTCATTTACCGTAGTCTTCTTTCAGCTCCCAACAGTCATCTTCAAATCACCAGCAGCAACAAGCACCGCCATCACTTAATCCGCCTTCACAGATCGGTCATCCAGCTCAGCAACCATCGATTGTTCAACCTGGCTATCCACCGCAGCCGAGTACGATCTATGTTCAGCACGCGACGTATCAGCAGGTTTGATCTCATTGTTATAGCTGTTGTTTTAAATCTTTTGGAAACACTAATTTATTCATGTTTTTTCCTCATTCTCGAAGTTGTATCGGGCCTGAGGCTCCTTTCTTTACTGGCCTTCGCGGGAACCTCATCTGACTACCTCTTCCTCCATGGAATTGGAATGTGTAGCAAGATTATTTTTCTTCCCTTTAGATCATTATGTTTAAAAGATATTTTCCGTATATTATTGTTTTCTATTTTAACCAAGATTTCATGTGCTGCAGATTATACACAGAATCTTTTTTCTCATACGAGGGAATTATGAGAGAATCTTTGAAGAATTCCTCGAGTAAAAAGATTTGCTATAGAGATCGTAATTTAATGAAATGGGGCATAGTTGGTGTGAAAGAAGTGCTTTAAGGCTAATTAAGTGTAAAAATACGGTGACAGCTCCATAGGCTCGCGAAGCAACAGATGCAGATGAACAGCGGTCGAGGCGCTGATGCTAACCTTCAGCGCTTTTCTGTTTTTCTATGCTGTTAATGCGATACCTCTCCGTGTTTTCTTGGCATTGCGTGCTTCTGTGTTATGCAAAAACCTATTGCACAAAGTCGTAGTATTAGTCTTAAAGGAGGTAGTCGACTTCATGAACATCTGATAGAGGTCATACAGTCGATATCTCGAAGTCTGATTGGGCGTGTCACCGGAAATGACGTGGCAGCCACCGCACTTGATAGAAGTTGCGCGGATAAGCTGCTTCCAACACGCTTTGCTGATATCTGGCGGAGTATTTTATCCACACAACATCTATCAAGTGCGGTGGCTGCCACGTCATTTCCGGTGACACGCCCAATCAGACTTCGAGATATCGACTGTAATTTGTCACTGGATTGTCAGCTACAACCTCTCGGATCCCTTGACCCTATTGTGTGACGAAGCTCCAGCCTGTATGTAGTTCTTTTCTGTGTTTTGTTGCACCATAAGATCAGAAAAGAGTTGATACTGATGATATTGCTCCAACACGAGTAGCAACATGTCGTTTATAACTTCATCTAGAAGATGGTTTCAGGGCTATGGCCAACAACCGCACGGATTCCAACAGAGCGGAGGTGTTCGTCAGATATATCCCCAGCAACCCGGAGCAGGAGTAGCTCTTCAGCACTGTGAGTTTTGAACTCAGTGGACTTTCAAGACGATGTTTCCGCTGCAAAGAAAATTATCATTTTCTAGTAATTCGCTCATTAATGTGAATTTTTTTCATTGTGAATTGTAAACCGGCAGACGTGGTAATTTTTACTACATTTAGCAGCCACATGGGGTGGCAGTATGGACCAATCTTTCCCTGGTGTATTGCCTACACACCCTGATGTTGTCGACCTTCCAGCGGAGGCGCTTGATGCGGAGACATTGGAGCAGTTCCGCCAAATTGGGTTAGTCGTTGAGTAATATCGCAGCCTTTGATATTTTCTCGTACTTGAATAGATCGAGGGACCAGTGATGGTAACTGAAGGTTTTGAGACTAGCTTTCAGCATGACAAAGGCATCAGTTACAGACTCTAGAATGACTTGAGATAAAAACCTGGGCAAACTTTATTCATCTACAAATTGTGCTAGCCTTGTACCGATGTCTGTCTTGGAACACGGGACGACGATGCTTCGCAAGTACAGGGTCGTACATATTTCTATCTAATTTTAGGCTACACCAATAATGATGAGATAGTTCCGTCGGTCGCCTATGGCGCTGAATGGAGAGTTCCCGATGGCGACGTACAACCGCAGTGGCAGCACACGGTTAGTTACTTCTAGTTGTATCCTCTGTATTGCTATGGCAAATATCAAGAAACGAATTTGGCCCACATTTATCTCTGGGGCTGGAAAAAATAGTATTCGACGTGAGGCTTTACGCACGAAATGGAATGTGTTTTTCAAGAGGTGTGTTTGTGTAAACAACCCCGAAAAAAGGATCCGCGATCACGCATTGCTGTATGAGAAACTGTGAGTGAGAGAGAGGGTGAAATTCTAGTGGGTGCGGTGTATGACCCACTCAGATGTGGCAAAGGTTCCACTGTGCGAGTCTCGCATAACCTTTTCGTTGATGAAGTACGCCGTCATTGAATGGTGTAGGATTGGCTTTTTTCACTTAATCCCGTTTTTGTAGCAGTCGTACTCTACCATACCAACAGCGGCCTACCAACAAGGAAGTCTGCACAGTTGGGACTCTCAGGTAGTCTACGCTGCTCAACCAGCACCCTTCAATAAAGTTGGTTTTTGTTTGAACAGAATCATTAAAATGTGCAACAGAATCGTTCAGACCCCAAAGCTATCATGGAAAATGTACAAAAAATGTCAAAAGCGGTCTCCAGATAATTTTTTATTTGTCAAATTTCCCGGTATTTCACGGCTTGACGAGCACGAAAACATCTAACGATATGTAAAGCTTAAGCTCATGAGTAAAATTTTCCTTTCGATCTGTTTATTCCATTCCAAGTGAACAAAGCTCTGCGCTAGCCCATAGCGAACGGGGAACAAAAATGGCCCGTGCCGTAGTGATTACCATAGTTAGTGTATTTTTGCCACATTCCTTGACAAGTCTTCCTCGATAAGTGGTTTACCATAGTTAGTGTATTTTTGCCACATTCCTTGACAAGTCTTTTACCTCCCATGGACGATAAATTACCCCAACCATGTTTGAAAGAATAGAAACCGTTATTATATTGTACATTGACCGACTGAAAGCCATTGCATAAGCCATATCGCGTCTAAACATGTATAATTTTGAATTGAAGCAGTATGCGTGGCGCATCCCAGAATAGATTGACGCGACATGCTTTATCCTTCCTTTTTTATCCTCTAATAATTCGTAACCCTTACTATTGGACTTTTGATGGTCCGGTGTTCCGCTACCCGTTGACAAACTTTTTTGACACAGGATATCCATTCAATTAACCGAGTTCGATCTAGATGAAGCTTATCACTCTGTTTTTAATAGTAGGTCGCCACAAGTTGAGACGAATTAGTCTAGGCCAGTACGTAAGTACGTTCTAGCACGCTTCACCGACCAGTTAGAGTGGTACCAAAAAAAGTAATTTCCAGAAGTTACTTTTCGAAAAGCAATTGGAATTTGATCCTGCCTGAATGTGACTATCATACAGCATGCGATATTGTAAGGGATTTTTGTCGAAAAAATATGAGCAATTGAGAAAGTGCAGAATGCTAAGTGATCACACGCAAATAGTAACCCTTTTATCACTTAAGAGAATTTCTGTAGTCGTATGGGAATCTGTAACGGCCACTTTTTCAGTCTCGGTAATGCTGCACATGCAAAAAGATTTTTTCCAGGCCCAAAACTCCCAGTCCCAGCAGCAACCCATGTTCTATGTGCCGGAAACCTTTGAGAATTCCCCATCAACCAAGTCTGTGTCGGTAAGCACTTCGGTGTTTCCATATCGTGTGTTCTTCACAATTTCATAAGCTTTTGAAGTTTGAAATATGAATTGAATTTCTTTCAGTATTTTGGTCAGTCGATCGATGGTTATCATGTGCCATTGCATGCCCATAGTACGGTACCGGGAGCAGGTACCTCACCAGCGAACTACTCGCAGCCCCCTCCACCGATTCAACACGGTCCTCCACATCCGGGCTATCAGCAGCAAAGCGTTCCCCAGCCGCCTGTGGACACGTACGCTGTAAGTTCAGGTTCTTAACAATGAGTTTCGAAAAAAAGGCGGTTGTTTAGAGCGCTGTTCAACGGTCGGAGAAAGAACTGGAGATGATGCGTCATCAACTAGGTACTGCTCTGCCAGAACGACCGAAATCCTTCGATCCTAGCGTGCAGCAGTTGCTCGCGTCAAGACGACTCGATCAGTCCGCGCTTGTGAATGTAAGCTCTTTCATGAACTGCAAGAGAGCACTTTTTTGCCTCACCTTTCGATGATTTTTGCCTCAGTTACCGAAGAGATTTTTCCAATACAGCTACCACCATTCGCTAAGGCAGACGGTCAGAATAAAATCGTAGTTAATCAATTAGCGACTCTAGGAACGTGGCCAAGAATGAACTTTTCGTCAACTCTCCCTAGTGTGTGGTTAAGGTTGTTTTTAGTGTCAGCAGATTTCCTGTTTTCAACAAGCCAATTCTTGACTAGGTTCTTGGGTAGTATGGATAACAGCTACCACCTCTCCTCACTACAGTCCCCAACTGTACTTTTGAGTAATTCGTTCCGTTGAAGCTCTTTGAATTTTCCTCTGGTAAATTCTCAGGAGTCCTCGCCTAATAGGCTCTTATTTTCGGTTGTTATCAGATTCTTTGAGGATCATTCTCTATAGCTTTTTGAGCCCTCGTGAAGTTAAGACGATAGGTAACTGGGGTTTCTCAAAAGGTAGTTTCACGTGTAATATAGGACCGAGATTCAATACTTCTTTTCAGATGTACTTGAAATGTGGTGGACAACAGTGGGCTGAAGCGGTCGATCTTGATCTCGCAATGACTGTTGTGAAATACTGCATGGATAGTCGTATAGATGGTGGGTCTGTCGAAGTAATCTAGTGAAGGTTTATTACAGTATTCTTAGTTGCAGTATCATTTCTATATGGGAAGAGTTGCAACCGTTGCAGTCAAATTACCTTACACTATCAAATCATATCAAGAAAAATCGTGTTTCCCTTTAACGCACGCGAGTCACGCTTGCTAATTTCGTCATCTGCAACCATCCCATGACATCACTTTAGTTCGCAAAACCATTTACTTATTTACTTTATTTATATTTATTTATTTATTTACTATTATTATATTATTTATTTCTGAACGAACCGGTGTCCCAAGACATTAAATCCATTGATGGAACTCGATAATAATAGTATTTGTCCATCAGCTACGAAAACAAAGACCCAAATAGCAATCTTAGACTTCTGAACGGGAGTAAAATAAGCAAAAGCTCGTGCTAGCCAGCGCTGGCAATTAGCGATATTTGAACTTTTGACAGTTGCTGGTCAATACAATGCCGTGGAGTGATGGATGAAGGTTCTTGATTATGGCAGAAACTCCGCTCAGCCTAGAGAAAATTCTGCAATTACTTCTACTTGATTGATGGAGGAGATTCTGAGCTATAAGCCGAACAGTGCCTCTGCCTGGACTTTATTGCTGACATCCTGTTCTCCGGACAGGTCTTCCAACCATCACATTGCTATTATTCCGGCTAGCTAGACTTCTGGACATGAGTCATGGCTGAAGTTGCTGCAATATCGCCGTCCCTCGGGTACACTGCTGCCTCGCAATTGCGGTAAAAAACAATTACCAAAACAACGCAATTCAGATTTTCTGCGTTTCCATACCTTTGAACTTTCATATCCCTATCTTTTATTCTTATCTGTTACCAGTAACCGTTTTCAATTTTCTTTAAACCCATTGCGACAAAATGTGATTTTCGCGTTGCCAACGTGAGCCACGCCTTTTTTTCCGAAAAATGCATCATATATGCAGCAACCACTGTATATTTGAGTAAACACAACACACCAACCGGGAGTATACTTCACGGGGCAGTGTGGACTCGTCGCTGCATCGCGCGGCCGCCGCCCCAAAATCCGTGAAGAAGTTTGGGGAGCCACGAACCGCGCAACCAGAACATACATGAATCTGAAGAGAAAATTCTTGGGACTCTTGCATGTCTCAAATTGTTGCCGACATCTGACTGCCCAAAAATGAGCGTAATATCTTTTTCCGTTGTGTGCAAGGTGATATTCGCTGGTGTGTCGGGAACACGTTTCACTTTTCTCCTGAAACCGTAATTCGATCGAATCCCGATCTCTGGCTGTGAATAAGTTGCATCACACCTCTAACTAAATGAAAAGCAAACAGCCAGCCTTCATGCATCAAAAACGAAGGATGCATCTCCTCAAAATGCACTTTCCAAGATTCCCCCTCTGTCCAACGCCCTATAGGAAAGATGATCCCGCCAAAGGCCATATTCATGCATTCATCAAGAACTGCTAACGCCTCCCTGATTGATTGCCACAAAATAATTTTGGAATTCCTGCGCAGAAGAATTATCTCTGTGCTGCGTCCCCACATCGAGCTGCAATGTCGGCAATGGGTTAATTATGATTTCATTTATTAACAGTGCGTAATTGCATACCTGGGGAAAACCTTTGGAAGGATTTGCAATAAAGTTTGCTTTTGAACATTTCCTCTGTTCTCATTCATTAAAACATTAAAAGTTTAGGCGCAATCCTTGTGTTTCTGCCTGGATTTGACGATATCGTCCAAATGCGCGATAAAATCACGAGTGAATCATGGACTGGAAGACGTCCGGTGATCTTCACACTACATTCTCAGATGAACTCTTTCGATCAGCAAAAAGTGTTTGATGCAGTTGGACCAAACGAGAGGAAAGTGGTTAGTTGTTCTTCCTTAGTTGCTTGTCACAAGTGGATTTGATGTTCGACAGTTTGGCGAGTCTCACTTGCTAAATATTCCATACGTTCTGCAGATTTTATCCACAAACATTGCCGAGGCATCACTGACAATCGACGATGTAGTGTTTGTCATCGATTGTGGAAAGGTGAAGGAGAAGACATACGATCACACGTCAAGAATCAGCCAACTGAAAGTAACATGGATAGCGAAAAGCAACGCAGAACAGCGAGCTGGTACGTGGCTGAATACTTACTCTATTACTTGTTGTACACGAAAAGTGATTTGAAGGCAAAATTTTGTCCCAAACGTTGAAAGGCCTTGTTGAAAATGTCACACAAAAACAGTTCCCTTTGCTATCTGGTATTAGGTTGCGTGTCATAGTCCATAACCGCTTACTTGAACTTTTCCATGATCAGGTTTTGCCTTTAGGTCAAACGTTCCTCTGAATCCCGAGCTAGAATTAGGTACTTCAGTGAATTAGGGTCGTGAAGCGGCGGCTCATACATTACTAGCGAACTTTTGCTTTTTCGAATAGCTGACGAAGATTTCTAGTATCACAAAAGTATTTTTTCGTATAGTAAGTAGAGGGAGAAATGACAAAGAATCTGTTCGAATTTTAAGGTCGTGCTGGACGCTGTCGTGAAGGGTTTTGTTTCCGGCTGTACAGTATTGAGGATTACGAAGTGATGCTTGAAACTCAAATGGCTGAGATGCAACGAACTGCAATCCATGTAAGTTTATGTGTCGCTGTTCAAGCATTATAGTTGTATTTGTTTCTTGCAGTGGTTTATTGTTGCACTGCAGTCTTGGTGTTTCCTTGGAATCTGATACAAAGCGCAGGTTTTACTTTTGCGGCTATAAACATATCGGATATTTTTCGTAACTAGCTGAAAATAGAATCTCGATATTTAGGTTGGAAAGAAACTTATTAAGTTAGTAGAATTTTTTTAAATTACATGTGAGCTGCAAGCTCCGCGATGACTGGAATAAGTTGCAGGAGCTACAGCGATTGCACCGGTGTATGGTTGCTTGGCTCAAGTTATGAATGCATGCGTAGTGGAAAGAACTTGTCGATGAACTAATAGCTTCGGTGTGGACTATCCCCGTCGTTTTCAGGGTTTTGCTGCATGCGAAATGTTTGCTCCGGAACATGACAGTGAAGCAATTCCTTCAAATGGCTCCTGAACCACCGTTAGCAGATGCTGTTGATAAGAGCATGGCATTTTTGGAAGTAAGCATTAAACTTGTTTTGTTGAAGTTAAATTTCCTATTCTTTCCTAGAGCTTTTGTTCATTTTTTTTCTTCTTTTTTTACAAGGAGTCTGCAAGGTGTATGAGTTGTAGAAAAATAGATAATTTAAACAAACCCTCAAAACTTTTAGGCTTTAACCGAACGGCTCACAGTGAGTATCAGTTTAGTCGGCTAAGGGCGCGCGTGTGTGTTAGTGCTGATGAATAATTATAAACAAAAAACTCAGGGAAACTACAATACACATACATAGAAGCTAAAGACACTACTTAGGAAGCAAGAGATCGATTGCGACTTCGAAGGCGATTAAATGGACCCTATGATTTATATATAACGGATAATGAGCGAATTCGCGATGGCATGATGGCTATTGAGTATGAATTCTGATTCGTTGAGATTTGACTATTAATAGGATTAAAGGCAAGGATTTCGGGATAAATGGTGCGGGGAAGCGTTCAGTTGTGACAGTAGAGGTGGGATATGGGTCTGTAAGAGAGGAAGCAATGACACCTGGTTACGCGTACAGAGGCCCCCTATTTCAGCCACATTCCACCTTGGGATAGAAGAGGCGAATTGGACGAGTTCCCGAACCTAACTCTACTTGCTCCAGTGTCAATAACATTGGATTGCGCTGGGACCACTCAAATAAGCCCGCGCGCTTTTCAAGCAGCGCCACGTGGCAACCGACAGCGAAGGGTGGGGCTTGCGGACGAAGGTGTGAGTTGCGGGTTGGACGAGCTCCTTGCGCCTTTTGCGCGTCGGGTTCAAGCGCGCCGCAAAAGTGGCGCCCGACATAGCACTTGTCACGGCCTACTACCCCTGAATGGACAGCCTGGATGGCGCGCTGATCGCGGAGGTGCTTTAACATGATGTGTTGGGTATCGACCATTGGGCCGGGCTGTAGTTCAGGGTAACCGTCTTCAACGGGTGTGCCGTTGAGGTGAAGAGAGCGAAAAGGAATGTGATAAATACTTTTTGCAAGCTACGTTGACTTTTGAATGTAGCTACTGTGGCGGATTGCAGAAATTCAAGTGATTAGCTCCACAGAGTAATCGTCATATTTTGCTTCTTTGATGGAGAAATAGTTTTTTGCCGAGCTTTCGAAAGGGCATTTTGCAGTAGCATGACTTCTTAGCGGTATGAAATAACATTAGCTCAATGTTAGTCGCTTTCAGAACTGCGGTGAGTTGTATTTGGAGGCCGCACGTCAGATGTCGATGTTCGTGCACACCGATTACGGGAGCGCTGAATGACAGATTTGGGGAGATGGTGGCCAGCTGCCTTTTGGGATCACAACTTCGGTATTGTTTTCAGATGTGTGTGTTTGAAGGACATCCTTTTCTGGTACGTGAATCTTCACTTTTTTCAGCACGGCTGCTGTTGTTTGGTGTGGTGCTGAGATGCCTGAATCCAGTCGTGACTTTAGTAGCGGCACTTTCGCATAGGGATCCATGTGAGTTTTTTGGAAATGGTTTTTCATTTTTGCTGGGTGCATTTTAATTTGGGGTCGAATTTGTGTTAAAGGGAGCTTTAAATAGGATTAGAAGGGATTTGGAGGGGACCTGAGGCATGCCCATGGTACGCCAGGTGTGGCGAAAAGAAATCCTCAAGAAACTGAGGGGTTCCTGTTTTACGTGGCAAGACGGCGGGTGCTTCAAAGTAATGCTCAAGAACAACCAGCTTTTCTCGTGAAAGTGCGTCCGTACTCGTTTCCTTGAGATAATGTATGAATTATGGACGGTATTACCGTGCCCGATGCGCTCCTCTTCTACGAACCGGCTTCTATTGCATGTTTGGAACGTGACGGCGTGCGCACTTTCCGCCGGTATGAATAATGAGTGTATGCGGGGATCCCTCGGCAAGAAAGGAATCTTTTTTTGCATCTTCTAGCGATATCATATCAACTCCTGCTATAAATAAAGCGCTAATTCTGTCTTGTGTGTCTGTCACGGAATTCAGTATCTCTGAAGAACCACCTGCACAGCTGGGTCAAGTTTGGAATGGGGGAGCCGTGTGTCGCGAAGTACAAACACTCATCAACGGGGCGGAGCTCCGCCCACAATAGACGGCGAGTTACGCGCCGCATTGTGAATGTTCGAAGGCAAAGGTTCGGGGTCGTGACTATGGGTCAGGCAAAGACGGACGAAATGGGTGAAGGGGTACTCAGTGCTTAGTTTGAATTTGGGGAAGACGGCCCATTGGGGCGAGGTTTTTTGTAGAGAGCAGAGTACTAGATAAAAATATCAATTTCGCGGGAAAGCTAATAGAGCAGAAAAATCGGTTTGGAGGACATAGTTTAATGTGCTCCTGCGGGTGCCTGACAGCGAAACCACCTACCACTTACAGTAAGGAGAGGCATGCTTGAGTGGGTAGTTCTTTTTCGTTACAATTCCTTGTAGGTTGGTTCAATACCAGGGGTACGAGAAGAGTGGTTTAAGGTTCTGAGAGGGGGAGAAGGCTGAAGGTTGGTGGTGGGCATGACGTAGCCAAAGTGGGCGGGGTCTACCACCGAACTTGGCACTCGGTTCCATGAAGACCCAGAGACCGGAAAAAAGTGAAGAGAGTCTAGCAAAGCAAAATAAGTGAGCATTGGAAATGGCGGGTCGTAGGCGATGCGACGGATGTAGGTGGAGTTTTAAGCGATGATCGTAATCGGAAGTTTGATTTGTGCGTTAGCCGCGGGTCGAATGGTGAATCAAGTCTTTAACGGTTTTCGTTGGGCTCTAACGCTTTTGGTGTAGTTCATGTTGAAGTGTATTACGTGCATGCATTTCTTAGAAATAGGAAAGGGCGCTGTCTTTTTATGGACTGACGCGCTGGTGGCCGTATTTTTAGTAACGTCATAGCATATTATGTTGAAATTTGCTCCCATTTTTGCTTACACAATCTTTCTCTTTGCTGTTAACGTACGAGATGCAGTGGGCCTTCTTCCTAAGATTATTGACAGATTTGACTGTGGTTAAACGCATGTGTGGGAACTGCGGAAGTTTCATTGCAGATGGCAGGCAGAAATTGATGATCCTTTGGCTCGCTATACAGTATAGACATTTGAAAGCCTACGATGTTTTTTCCAGACATCAGACAACCTTACCATTTACTGCTTCTCTTTCTTAATTAGGACTGTACGTAAATTGTTTAGTTATACTGGCGATGTCCGAGGAACGAGAGCAATCGAATCGTCGATGCGGTGTTCGGTAAACGAGATTTCTCCGATCACATCACTCTGATTCAGGTGCGTTTATTCAGGCATCCATGAAGGAAAAATCAACAAAAAATATAAATATCACGGTTACATGCCTATCTTTCGATGTTCAACCATGCCCCAACTTGATCTGGAATTATTCCCCAAAATGAAACTTTCCCATTTTTTTTTTGAGTTTTTCTGACGAATGGCGCGACATGAGGTAGGGTGACTCTCTATACTCGATTTGTTCAAACAGATGAAAAGAACAATACGACAAGGCTGTTTATGAAAATGCCTGTTTTTTTTCTTGGAGATCGAGTAGTTTGAAAAGCATTATGATGGAATTTTTCAGGGCTTCAATGATTAACGAAAAGAGTCCAGGAAGCGATTGCTGTTTGTGTCGGGTTATTATTTGTTTTACCAGCAGATGAGATGATCGCAGGAATTCGGTAGGATTGACTTATTTAAAGATAGGGTTTTAATCTTATGTTTTTGTGATGGTTTTCAAGTGTTACAGTTCTTTACTCATTTCCACATCGCTATTATCCACAGCTCTTTTTTTATCTTCTTTTTCTTCTTTCGCATTTCGATTTCGCATTCAACTTTACCTCTTTTTTATTTCTTTGTCAGTTACATGGGCATTTTTGTTTCCGTAGCTGTTATTTGCATGTTTTTCTATTAGGTTGGAAAGAAAGTCCTGCAACACTTTTTCAAATTTTTGATTTTAATTTTATCTTTTTTGGTTACAACTTCTGACCGGTCTTATATCTACCATGAGTGTCCACCACTTGTCTCCATCGCTCAGAAAATTTCTTGATGCTCCTCCGCCAAAACCCAGCGGAGTGCGAGGTCGAGAAAGGAGGCGACCTCACTTTCGAGTTGGAGTTGATCGTCTGAATTATTTCGTTATAAAGATGATGATTAAAGGTCCAGGATAGGTAGCACTCATTTACAGCTCGACCAGGGGATTACGCTAAGAGAGGAAAGAAATCTTGCCGCAACTCCAGAATTTCTTACCGGGCTCATTTCGGATCATGGTGATTCGCAATGTCATGAAAGAAATGAATATTGTCGCGGTACGAGGGCTCTTGACGAGCTACCTCGGCCAGCTTCTGGTACTCCACAACCTAGGCCACTGCCTACACAATGGTGCCCATAACGAAGGGTATGTAGTGGAGCTTCTGTAAGAGCCCTACCTGTAATGGAGTGTGAGGGATGCTGCTGGCTTCTTATAAAATATCAAAAGATCGGAAGCGCTGGTAAAGGTGAAACACGCTGTATCGCTGAACGGCATGCCATTAGAAGCTATTGCAGATAGTGTCAGTCGTGAAGAATCATGGTTTTTTAGAATTTTGAATAGACGTACTCGGGTACGTTTGTAAGTGGTTCGAGATTTAAAATTTTCTTGGATACCTACTCACTGCAGAACTTATATCCACCTCGTGGATTGAAGCCTTGAGAATGCTCTATCATTTGGTAGTCATAAATGTTAACTATGAATTTTTCAGAAAAAAAGAAAATTTTGGAAAGAGTGTTGCAGAACTTTCTTTCCAACCTAATAGATTATGCTTTCTCCTTCTTCTTTTGTATCCTGACGATAGATTCTTCAGGAAATTCTTCCTGTAATACACTATCGTTTTCGTTGATATTTAGTCACAAAGTCAGTTAGAAGTGCAAGCAGAAGTAATTTTCTATTAAACAAGTCGGCGTTGTTGCGACTGTCGCGTGTGCGAATGTATCTTACGTGGCGATGATTGAATGCGCTGCGAAGATGCAAATACGAACCGGTACGTTAAGCAATGTCTTTTGGCGATTCTTGGATGGTTTAATAAAGTGATTCTTTCCTCCGTTTCAGCTATTCTTCATGCTGGCCTATGGTGCAAGCAGCAATCGTTGCTGGTTGTTATCCCGGCATAGGTTTCGTTCGAGCTGGAAACAAGTTGAAGAAGATTAGAACAAGGTTCATGTGGTTTCCAACGTTCCTGTGCTTTCTAATCTTTAAGAGCGTCACGATTATCATTCCGTCTCTCGAGGCTTTCTCATTGTTTGGTCGTGATTTTAGCACTTGAGGGTTCAGCCCCTTCATGTATCAGTTATTCAAAGACGGTGTTAGCGAGTCCCAACGCGTGAGTTCATCAATCAGTTTATGTAGCGAGAGATTCTGAAGATCCAGTATTAATATCTAGGTTCACGAATGGCGAAAATGATGAAGGAATTGACGTTAAGCGATTGGTGAGGGCTGCTTTGACCGTTCTGTTTGCGTATTAACAGCTAATGCGATGTAGTTTCTATTCACCTTGTTGAAAATTGACAGCTTCATCTGCATGTTTTGAATACATGAGACGATGAATTATGAAACCCCTAGCTCACTGACTTTCAGCTGCGAACAGTTACTGTCGTTCCACCTTGTGCTGGGTTGTATTATTGTGGGTCGATGAGATGGTGAGAAGAGCCATACGATTTTGACAGGAGTAAGTAACTTGTATAACAGTTTTGCGCTGCATTTGGTTAGTCGTATTGCACTTTCAATTTACGTTGATCGGATTCTGGAGAAGATTGCATTGATGAAGGAGGGGGCCTCGAGACGTGTTTACCCTACTTGAACATTGATCGGTGTCGAGCACTTGATCCCGGTCAAGGTTCTTTGTTTTAATTTACTGTATTGTTATGTTGATCTTGATTTAAACTGCTATTGTTCAAGTGACCTAGTAATTTTATGCCTTTTATAGGACATGAAACGACTGATACAGCTACGATTCAAAGTTATGTCTTATTTCCTTGCTGCAATTCACAAACCACAGCTCCTGACAAACCCACAAAAGGAAGATCTAGTGAGTTGCTCAACGTCCGATATCCATTTCTATTATTTTTGTGAATGTAGAGTTTCAAGTTGGGCTTATTCATAAGTTGTAAAAGTGTTTATTACCTGAAGGTTGGAGTAAAGGTTTCAGAAAGCAGATCTGCATTACCTCGGCTATATTTGTAGTTGATATGATCGTAACACATTATTGCAGCTTATGCTTCTGCCGCTACAATATTTTGGTCTCTTCCGGCACGCACTTTTGCAAGTTTTCGAAGGGCATAATTCGCATAGAATCCTTCTTGTTGGAAGATGAGAGGGTTGTGAGTGTTTCGTCATCTGTATTTCAATAACAGTGGTTATTTAGGATCTACTGGAAACACTGGCGCTTGTTCTTAAGACCGACCACCAACAAATGAAGTTCAATACGTGTGTTCTACCAGAACAGCAGTTCATTTTCCAACAGCATCAGGTTCCCACGTCATCGTCCACTTCCAGCTATAGCTCTCACAATGGCCAAGCTACTGCGTTGCGTTTCTCCCATCGAGAGGTCAGTTTTCGCCCAGTCTCCTTAGGATTTTACAGGCTTCTAAAACTGCTCCGAGCTTTCAGGGCACCTCATCGCAGCCAAATATGAGTGCACTTGCAGAGGTTCCTCCAAAATCGGTAGGCTCTTGCAAATGGGTGTTTGTTTTCGGTTTACTTATTACTACTCCTTTGACAGGCGTTAGGAGCTTCTAATTCGGAAGCGTTACCCCCGGCACATTCGGCCGCTAATTTCCAAGCTGGAGGCTATGAAGACAATGATCCTCCAGATGGAAATCGCTCGCCTCCTCCTGTCCAACAAGACAGAGATCCGCAGGATCGGTACGTAGGACAGCGACAACAACCTCGGCGACAGTTAAGTGCTCAGGACGACTATGGTTATCAAAAGGTGAGCTAACCGCATCAATCCAGCTTCTTACCATACGTGATACCTTTGAGTTACAGAATCGTCGGGACAATTATGATCCACGACGTTTTACGCGGAACCGTGACGACTGGCAAAGAAATCGACCTTATCAGCCGCGCGAGGGTTTCCGCGACAAGGTGGAGCGGTCCCAAAATTTCCGCGACCGTGATAGAGAACGGAACGCGCGTGACGATACGGGGCCAGGCCCATCTTCGCAGCAACAACCGTTGCCACGCCAACGAATTCAAGTGAGGAATGCTATATAGTATATCTCAAGCATTCCTTTTCCACGATTGGAATTGCTTCTCTACCACTGTTTCCTTACGTTTTGTGTACCTTTGCAAAGCTCCAGTTCTCAATTTTTAGGGGTATAATAATCGCGATCGTGACTACCGGCAAAATGACCGCGAATGGAGTCGAGGCGAACAGATTTCTGATTCGATTCGATCAGATTTGGATCAGTTGACATGGCAGCAACGAGAAATGGAGCGCAATGATAATTACCGAGATCGACAAGGTTTTTTTTAAATGTTGTTTCCTTTTTCTTTTGACCACCAATTTTCATACACCTAAAGATGGGAAGCCATTTCTACGGTGCTAATTCAGGCCGTCGCGACTACAACTATAGGCAGCGGCAGTATACCAAATACGACGACGATCGCGAAGAGCCGGTAAGCGCTTTATATCCAAATTGTAGTCT